CATGGGTATAGGGCTGACCAACTGGGTCATGGACAATCTTCCAGAGGGCTTGTCCCTCAATAAAACTGACTCATTTTCCCTTAGCAGCCATGGACTACCTGTGGCTTTTCAACTAGGGGTAGGGCTTCATGAGCCCTTTCCCCATCCCTCTGGAATGTTGACTGGTATGGTCTTGTGCACATCTTGTGCAGGCAGCCATGGCTATTGAGAGTTCCTAGGTGCAGCATCCCTGTCATGTCCAGAAGACACTCAAATAACCAAGTTTTGGGCAATCTTAGAAGCTAAGTTTTCAACCACAAGATTTGTCAAATAAGGCAAATGTTGACCAGTTCCTCTCTGCCATTTCCCTCATCTGTCTGTAATCACTGCCTGCTCATGCTGCTGGATGGAGCTGCCCAACCCATTAATACTATCTTTATTCAGATAAATCCTGTGTGGTGGTTTGAATGAGAATGTCCCCCATAGTCTCCCAAGTATTTGGACACTTGGTCCCCAGTTTGTAGTGCTGTTTGGGGAGGGTCATGGAACCTTTGGGAGGTGTGGACATGCTGGAGGAAGCATGACACTGAGATGGGTTTTGAGACTTCTTACGCTTTGCCAGAGGACCAGTCACTCTCTGCTAGAGCTACTTCTTGCCGCCTTGCCTTCCCTGCTAATGTGAACTCTTACCCCTCTGGAACTATAAGCCAAATAAACACTTCCTTCTATAAATTGCCTTGGTCTTGTTGTTTTTTTCACAGCAATAGAAAAGTAACTAAATACGGAAGATAATATTGAGAGGGACGTTGTTGTTGTGAAAAACCTGACCATGTGTGTGTTTAAAGGAATGTGGAAGACTTTGAAAGTATGGACTAAGAATATGGTTGAATACTGTAATTGGAGCTTAACAGGCCATTCTAGTAGGAGCCTGAAAGAAAGTAATGGTGAAAGTAAAGTAGTTCCATGGGAAACAAGGACTTAAGCAGCAACTGAGATGTTTTGGCAAAGCATCTGCCTGCAGACTGCCCCAAGCATAAAAGCTTGCCTGAGGCTACATTGAAAAGTAAGGGACTAATTTCTTTGGTGGAGGAAATTTCAAGACAATCTAACATAGAAATGGAGGCATGGTTATTGATGGTGGAGATTTTGCAGATCTACATTGAAAAAGAGCAAATGGGGCAGAAAGAAATGCAAAATGTACAATTCTGATTTAAAAAGAGCACTAGGAAGATAAATATTGGAGCCAAGATCTGTGCTGAAGGAAAGGCTCTCTTTGATAAGGAGATTAGAGCCTACAGATTAAAGAGAGGCCTATAGATTTGCACTTCAACAATGGAAATAATACCTTCAGGGCAAGATCACACCCAGCTAAGAAACCTCTAACTTGTAAAAGGAAAATGCTAGGGTGGGGGTCAGGGTAGAGGCATGAAGGATGCAAGAGTGAAGGGGTCATCAGTTATTTTTCTGCAGTTTCACAGAGCTGCCAAAGCCAGGCAGTGTGCAGCAGGGGCATCCTTGCATAAAGAAGGCCTTGACAGGCCATTGTATAAAGCTGTGAAAGTGAAGCCTGGGTGACAGTGGAGACCCCAAGACACTGGGCATGCTAGAGTTGTGAGACATCTGCCAAGGAGAGCTGCATATATGGAATGGTACTAGCCCAAGAGAGAGGTGTATGCTGCATGCAGCAAAACTGGAGGGGCTGAGCCCGCTAAGCCCTTTGGATGCAAAGTCTCAGAAGCTGGACATGAAGCTACTAGATTTGGTAGCATCAGTAGACTTTGTGTTTGCCCTGCTGATTTTCAGCATTGTTTTGGTCCAGTGTTTTCCCATTTGCCCCCATTTCTCCCTTTTAGAGTAAGAATATGTATTTGGTTCCATTGTATGTTGGAGGTATATAATTTGTCTTTAGATTTTTATCAGGACTTTAAGAGATTGCTTTGAATCTCAGAAGAAACTATGGGCTCTGGACTTTTGAATAGTATCGAGACTGTTAAAGACTATGGGACTTTTGAAGGTGGACTAGATGCATTTTGTATTTTATATATTCATGAGCCCATGGGGATCAGAGAGTGGAATGTGGTGGTTTCAAAGAGAATGTTCCCCATAGGCTCTAAGTATCTGAACATTTTGTCTCCAGTTGGTGGTGCTGTTTGGGGAGGTTTTAAAAAGTTTGGCCTTGTTAGAGGAAGCATGTCACCAATGGGTGGGGGGCAGATTTTTTAGAGCTCTTACACCTTGTATTTCCTGTCTCTCTGCTTCCTGTGCCTGCTTGAAGATGTCATTGCTCTGTTTTCTGTTCTATCCACCTCTGCCACCTCTGTTCCATGCCTCTTCCACAATTATGGATGCTAACCCTCTAAACTGTAAGCTCAAATAAACTCTTTCTTCTATGAGTTGCCTTGGTCTTGGTGTTTTATCACAGCAACAGAAAAGTAACTAATACACTCTGCTAAATTTAATTTGCTCAAATTTTGTTTCCTCTTAACAGGAGGAAACAAGCAGTAAATAACTTGCCAAAATCACAAAGCCGGTAAAAAGAAGAGATAGATCCTGAATCTAAGGAGTATTGCCTTAGAGCCCACCTTCAAATCACAATATCCTGGCATTTCTGGAACCAGGTTTGATTACTCCATTCAAGAGTTTTGCAACTTCCTCACTGATCTGTCTTGCCTCCCTTCTGAGAAGGAGATATACAAAGCTCATCTCTTTTGCTTTCCCAAGAGAGCCAGCCCTTTCTGTGACCCACCTGACCAAGTGAAAATTATCTAGAAGAGACCAAACAGTGGAAAAGATAGCAGGGAATCCCTGCTAACCAGAACATTCTCAGGCATTGTTTTAAAAGAGCTTTGCGTCATAGAACAGTCATGTGTAAGAGCATACGTGCGATGTCTTGACATGACATCATTGCAATTGCAGCAAGAGTTCCTCGTTCCATATCTGCAAGTCTGGAAGACAGCTGCAAAGCTGGGAACCATAAGCAGCATTGCTTATGCAGGGATGAGCCTGCTCTCTGTCATTCTGCCTAGAAAACTTTCACCTTTCAAATGTCTCTCTTCTTCTCACTCTTAAACTTCAGGTGAAATGACACTGATTTGCACAGATGCTGCTTAGCTTCCCTGCCTGAACTCACTCTCTCTCTCTCTCTCTCTCTCTCTCTCTCTCTCCCTTCTTCCCTCCCTCCCTCCCTCCCTCTCTCCCTCCCTCTCTCCCAACAGCATCCTAAAGTCACCACAGCCCTAACCACAATGGCTGACTGACCACTTTCCATCCATATATTAGTTTTCTCCAAGAAAGTTCCACAAATTGAGTAGAAATCCCACAAATCTGAGCCCTCTCCCTTTTAAAACTGAGTTCAAACTCAAAGTGTGAGCAGAGCCATGCTGCGGCTCACATAAGCTTCCTTTTCTCTTCTTTAGCCTCTGGTAGTGGTCAGCAGTCCTTGGAGTTTCTTAGCTTATAGTTGTGTCATGAGCTCAGCCTCTGTATTTCTTATCACACGGTGTTCTTGTGTATCTCTCTGTGTCCAAAGTTCTTTCTTCTAATGAGGACATCAGTTGTAGTGGGTTAGAGCCCGACCCTTCTCCAGTACAACTTATTTAATTACATCTTCAAATGTCTAGTGCTAGCCTCCAGGACTGTCAGAGAACAAATTTCAGTTGCTTAAGCCTCATAGCTCATGGCAATTTGTTACAGCAACTATAGAATGCTACTACAAATAACTTTCTTTTTGAGGAATAATTTCTACATGTTTTTTATTTTTTGAGAATTTCATACATGAGTACAATATTTGTATTTCTACCCCTTTCAATCCCCCTCACTCCCTCTCAATTTCTTGTCATCATCTATGATTATTGTTACATATATGTAGAGATACATTTATACAGAAACATACACACACATATATACATATATATGTATCTATATAAAATGCATTGAGTCCATTTGGTGGTGCTCATATGTACATGTGTTTAGGGATGACCACTTTGGATTAAATACCTATCAGGGAGCTAATCCCTAGAGAAAACTAATTCTCCCTCCCTCAGCATCTGTTGATTGCCTATAGCACTTCATCTAAAGGTGGGACCTTTTGTAATTTCCCCTCATCACATTGGCATGTCAATTGGTGCTGTCATTATGCAGGTCTTGTTAGGCAACTATGTTGTAGAGATTTCATGAGTGAAGCTTCCCTGTCATGTCTAGAGTATCTTATCTAGCAGCAGGCCTTCTGGTCCTCTGGCTACAAGAAATTTTCTTAGTTTTGTTTAACCCTGGGCTTTATCACACACTTACATGACCAAATAAATATTTTCATTATGGGAGATGTTAAGAATTCTTCATTTCTTGATGGGAGGGGAGAATAACTTGTTTTAGAAAAGTAAATCTGATCTTTCTGTTTCATAGATGAGCAAATCAGTTGTCATGGAGGATGATGGGTTTGTTTGCTCATTTGCAGAGGGATGGAGCCTAGACGGAGGTAAGATACCAAGTCTACATCAGGTTGCCATGATGGTTCATTTGCACCTGATGGCTCATTCTCCCCTCTACTTCTGAACTACCCTGGGAAATGGGGTGACATGTTCAAGATAACATTTGGCTTTTGCTCTCTTAGGGCAGAGCAGGGCACTTTTCCCATTTAATGAAGAACTACTGGAACAAATGAACTCTCAAGTGATTTTCCAGCCAATGGTAGAAAATGTTACCTTTTTTAAAGTTCTGGGTAAATACGTTCAAGAAACCAATCATGGAAGGAGCTGATCATTGTAAACTGACATTTCAGGTAAGCTTGGAGAGTGAAAGGCAGCTGAGCTGATCTTTACCCTCACCCCCCACCCCTGCACCTAAGGAAAGAGATAAAGGGATGTGGCTAGGCCTCTTCTGTCTAAAAGGAGAGTTTTGTTTGTAGGGCTGGGACTTTTTCTACCTTTCTCTTCTCTTTTTGCCTCCTCCCTCACCCTCTTCCCCCAGAAATACAGAACCCACCAGAAGCAGCCATTCCAACCTAGTGAGGCAGCCTCACCTACCTTCCACTTGATAGGCCGCAGTACCTGCTCCCCATCCGAACCCAGCGGGAAAAGCCATGGCTGCAGAAGCTGAGCCTCCCTCAGCTGACAGCATGCACAGTCTTCAGACCGGAGAGCTGAGCACTGTACAACAGTGGTGAACTCTGACCCCAGACCAGAGCCTCAAAGTGCAAAGGTCCTGAAAACAAGAAAGAGGCAGGCAAGAAGACGCCGTTCGAGTGGCCGCAGACGTGACAAGAATCTCGGTTATTCTGTCCGAGATGAGCAATTAGACACTTCCCAACTCTTCCTGATTCCTAACAGGCTTGGGTCAGCCTGGGTGCTGACCAAGTTGATCTTTACCCCTTTAATGTAGTGCATGAACATTGTTTTTAAGTTGGATAATTCTACTTGAATATTCCCCTAGCAAATTCCTCCTAATCCCCTTGTTTGATTTATAGTTGTGTGCCTGTGTGTGTATGCATGTCTGGGGGATATGCTTACAGAGGACAATGGCTTTCCTCTTCTATCAGGGATCTAACTCAGGTTGGCAGGTTTGCATAACAAGTGCTTTTACCCACTGAGCCAACTTGCCAGCCTCCTCCCAATTAATGATTCCTACTCCCTAGTCATAACCACTTTCAATCATTTCTTCTGGTATTTACTCACAGGGTGTGTATATAATAGACTGATACAGCTGCTTCTGATTCTTTTTATTTATTTATTTATTATCGGACACCACTACCCAGGGTATAGGAGCAGAGGATCTAGAATATCCTCCTCTTCCCTTCCTCCTCCTGTCCTCCTCCTCCCGTCCTCCTCCTCCCCTTCTGCTCCGCCCGTCCTCCCCCCATTTCCTGTACCCCTACCTTTTCCTCTTCCTTTCTCCATTCCTCCCCTCCCTTTTTTTTCTGCCCTTTCCTCCTCCCCTCTTTCCCTCCCCCTTTCCTCCTCTTCCCTCCTCCCCTCCCCTCCCTCTCCTCTCCTGTCTCCTCTCTTCCCTTTCTCCATTTATCCAACATAAAATTACCTTTTTTATTAAAGAAAGTCAGTATTTATTTAGTGAGTCTTGAAAGACTCAAATCTGAGCCACGTAATGCCTTGTTCACATGCAGTCATCTAGTCTCTCTGAAATTAATCAACGGTGTGCTCTTAATATTTATTTAATTTCCCTATGCCTAAATAATTCATTCCCAAGTGCTTCGATAGAAGTAGAAATTTCTGAGGTACGTAATAACTGTTTTCCCACTCCCTCTGCACCGTTCACTTATCAGCAGCCTCAGAGCTGCAACCCAAGTGATCCTCGATCACTCAGGGACCCGTTGTTCACGTCCCTTGTGTTTTTCCCTCTTTATTTCCTCTCCTTTTTCACAGACTAGAATCTTCTGATAAAGGGGACAAGGGAGATGGACACTTCCAAGCCCTATGGTTCTGGAGTCATCTGCACTATTGCATCAATTTTGATATGCAGCTTGTTCCCTGCTGGCTTCTAGGGGCTAGATAATCGCTGCTCTGGATTTTGAAGGCTTTGGCTTGTGCTGTTCTGTCTTGCAATGTGTCCTTTGAGGAGTTTGACGGCAATCCAAGTCCTATGCTTTTATATAATATGCTTTGTTCCCTCGGACCTCCTTCGCTGCTCCCCAAGCTTCGACCTCTAAGTTTGTACAGTCACATGCCTTAATGTGTGTCTTTTCTGGCATTGAGAAGACCTCATACAGGTACACCACAGTGAGGTAGAGCATTGCCAAAAGGGGGACAGGATGAGAGGCCTGTGAACTACCTTTGCAACTTTCCTGTACCTCAAAAATAATCCACAATAAAAAATTATTTTAAAAACATTCCTCTGAGGGACTGGAGCAACGGCTTAGCAGTTAAGAGCACTAGCCAGCTTTGCAGAGGACCCAGGTTTGTTCCCAGCACCCACATGGTGGCTAACAACGTCCATAACTCCAGTTCCCAGGGATTCAACACCCTCTTCTGACATTTGCAGCCATTACACGACATGGGTGCACTTACGTACATGTGGGCAGTACATTCATACACATAAAATAAAAATAATAATTTTTAAAAATTCCTGTGGAGAGAGGAGTTTGTCATAGGAAAGCTCCTTGTTCCATTTCCCCAAGTGAGGACTGAATGGGTATGTTCTGTGCATTTACAGGAATAGACAATCCAGAAGGTGATATCAGTTGAAATCCTCCAGTCTCCCATTATTCTAACCCCAAGAAGAAAGAAAAGCTTCAATATGGAACCTAAGAAAAAAGACACTTAAGGGGCCGGGTTCGAATCCCAGCACCCACGTGGCAGCTAACAACTGTCTGTAACTCCAGTTCTAGGGGATCTGACAGCCTCCTCTGTCGTCCGTGGGCATTGCAGGACATGGGTGCATTTACCTACCTGCAAGCATAACACTCATACACACAAAATAAAAATAATAAATATTTTTTTTAAAAGAAGATACTTAAGACATTCAGAATTGCATGTTTGGTGCCATAAACATCAACAATGTAGTTTAAATGTTTAAATGTAACCCAAGTTGTAACTCACCTCTGAAGCAATCTGTATAAACTGATGTGGGGGGATTAAATATTTTCATTATGGAGCACTAGATGGCAGTATTGCAATTTTTTAAGATCACACTTGGGCATAGAAAACACTTTAGTGTCCCAGCGTGCTCTATGTCCTACAGTCCCTCTGGACTCCTGGGCCATTTTAAGGCTCCTCTACAGACAGAATATCACTCGTCTTAGTGTTCCAGATTCTCTGAAGTCATTTGTGCCCAAATGCGGAATTTATTCTTTCTCAGTTCTGATCAAATTGTCTAGCATAAGTCTTTAGCTTTTTAGTTTCAGAAACTCTTTACATTCTTAAAAAAAATCTGAGGTTTCTGAAGGACTTTTTTTTCTTTAAATATATATATATATGGCTAAAAATTAAACCTGAGATTTTTAAATTTTTGTTTGCTTGGTTTTTTGTTTTGTTTTTTTTTTTTTTTTGACAAAGTCTCACTGTAAACCCAGCTGGCTGTCATGAAACTTGCTATGTAGACCAGGCTGCTCTCCTGTCTCACAGAGATATGCTACATCTACCCTCCTCTATTTCACAGGCAGCAGTATTAGAGGCAAGATCTGCATCACCACCACACCCAGTTAAACCTGAGATTTTTCAACTGTTTATCTCTGACTTCATTTAAAATAATAATGAAAACTAGGGATGGTGGCCCACTCAGGAGGCTGAAGCAGGAGGATGGAGAATTCCAGGCCAGCTTGAACTACATAGTGAGTTCCAGGCCAGCCTGCACTACCTAATAAGATTCTGTCTCAAAATAAATTAAATTTAGAATAAATAGTAATGAAAAGTGTGTTTGTATAATAGCTTATTTTGCTTTCAAAATATAATCCAAAACTAAAATATTATTCTGAGTGCATACTTAGCACTTTTCCAAGTCTCTATCATGCCTTGTCTGAAGATAAATAGTCATGTCTACTTCTAATTCAGTGTGCTGCCTGTGGAAAAATCCAGTGTACACTCATAGAACCATGAGAGATGACAATGAATGGCAGTCACATATTAATATAATTATAAAAATAATTTTGACCTTTTAAACCTCCCAAATGGACTTGATGATGCTGAAAAGCCCATGATCCGTACTTTTAAAATGGTAAGGCCTAGAGAGGTGGCTTGGTGTATAGAGTGCTTGCTGCACAAGCATGAGGACCTGAGTTCAGATCCCCAACACCCATGTAAAAGCTGGGTGTGCCAACTATTTCCACCCTAGACACATAACCAGGGCATGCTATATCCTACCACAGAGTTACTTGCCAAGCCATGTTCAATGCCACTCTTTTTATAATAGCTAGAAAGTGGAACCAGGACAGTGAAAATGTGGCACCATATACATAATGGAATATTATTCAGCTGTAAAAAAGAACTGAATTTCTAAATTTGCAGGTAAATGGATGGAAGTGGAAAAAATGATGCAGAGTAAGCAACCCAGGAACACAGAAACAATGCACATGTTCTCCCTTATATGTGGACCTTGGCCTGGAATCTGTAATCTGGTGTGTTCAAATTGAAGAACCTATAGAAGCCAGGAAAGAGGCCATTAGAATTAGGGGATGGGGAGAGTAGACCACACAGAGAATGAAAATAGAGAAGACTAGTGCAGATGGAGAAGTTTACGCAGCGTGGAGGTGATGGGGACAGGAGGTGGCAGGGTGAACCAAAAGGAAAGGGCATTTTCACCGTCCTGGAAAAAAAAAATGGAAGCCTACTAGTTTGCAACCAAATTTAAGAGTCTTATAGGAGATCATGGCATACCTGCATAGCTGAAAAAACTGCTTCTGGAAACTCTGGGTTATTAAACAAAACCACCAGTGTCAGGGGTGGGATACCACCTCATAAACTGTTGGTGACAGAGGTTCCAGAGGCCCTCAAAACAATACAGGCTCTTATCGTTCTTCATGGTTACCCTCTAGAACTAGAAGGTAAGACCCTACCGCCAAAGACACTGCATACCTAGAAAGCATTATATAGCAAAACTAAGCATAAATGAGGCAGAAGCTTCCCCCCATACTGGCTCACTTTCATAGTTCAAGAGGGTGCAAGGCGGGCAGCTGAGAGAAAGAGGCATCAAAGTCTTTCCCAGCTGTGAATTTTTTGATCTAAAAGACTGACCTCCTTGGTAAGATGTGCCCACCTGTTTGATAGTGGTGCTACTGTTAAGAAACTAACCAACTGTTCTCTGATTGGATTTTAGATCTTTTCCCCAAGAGGGAAATCATGACTGGAACAGTAAATATGGTCAAAAATCCATGGTGGGGGCACATCACAGGCCCTAGTGGGAAACTGAGTACTGTTCTTTAGCTAAGTTGACATAGTATAAAGCTGCTTTCCAAATATTTATGTTGATACTCATAAAGAAACTAAATCAGAGAAGACTCTCCTTCCAGCGAATGGTGGAAAATATAGAAACTCGTGGCTGCACAAGGTGCTGAGAATTAGGGACAGATCAGTGCTCAGGCCTAAACAAGACCTTTATAGCATCCTTTCCAAGGCTCAGGAAACACTGCAGAAGAGGGTGTGGAAAGAATGTGGGG